TTTAGGCTTTAAAAATCTATAACTAGTGGTATTTTTGCAAATAGACACTTCTTAGTGGCATTCTTGCAAATGTACACACCAAAAATGATATTTTTGCAATTGCCCTTTTAAATTAGTAAATTTGTTAATCATTAAAGTTAATAGATAATTTATTAGTTTTAAAGATCACAAATCATTTTTTCATAAAAAGTTAGAAAATCAAATCATTTTTTTTTGTTTTAAGTTTTTCATTAATTAAGGATAAACATATCATTTCAAACAAAAATAAATGGTACTTTTCAAAGTTTAATAAATTTGGTATAGATTATAAATTTCTAATAAGATTTATGGTATACAGTCCAATTTTTCTTACTAACAAATCTACAAACACGTTCTTTATCAATGTCAACATAGTCTTAGGGTGTGAATAAAGGAGAAAAGAATTTCATCTATATTTTGTTTTCTTTTAACAATTATGGGTGGAAAAATTTCTTCCGTTAAAAGAAAAATGTTTGATTACAAAAAAGGTTTTCCCTCTTGTTGTGGGTCCAAGCAAAAGAGAGAGAGTAAAAATTGTTCGACTAGTTTTACAACCAGTCAGATCCTTAAATACCCTTTCATTTGTAGCCAGGGATTGGCATGTACATTTTGCAGTGACTTTAGATGTGTCCAGTGATAATCGATCTCTAGCCTGCACCAACGGAGAATGACCACTTGTTGATCAAAAGCCATTTGACTATCATCACTTGGTTTTATGTCACTCGAAAGAGATTCATAATGTTTGCTCTAAGTTCTAGCATGATCTCTTGTGTAATCAAAAGCACACAGCAATATAAGACAATAACACCTATGTTTTGTTTTGGCCTTCGACCCAAAAGTAATCCCATGCAGGCATGCACTTAAACATTAAATGTTGTTAATCTCAACCGTGCAACCACTAGGGGAAAAAAACATAATGATCATGTCTTGAGAAAATCAGAACGAAAGATCACCTCTTAAAGCAATCGATTTCAAGAGTCAAGAGGAAAGACTCTTTAACCATATCAATTTCATGTTTGAACGAAAGAGACCAAACTGGTCCCAAAGGGGAAAGAATGAAATTTTCCTTTCCATAAACAAACTAGTCGCCCAACAAGGCAACAACACCTAATAAAGTCACTTTTTAAAAAATACCACATTTTTAAAATCTTTGCAAAAATGTCATTTTTTCAAAATTAGTTTTTATTATATTATTTATGTTTGGGTTAACTATGTTGTATAAGGGTTTAGTTTTGAGGGTTTAAGAGGTTTTAGGGATCAAAACATTTTTTAGAGTTTATAATTTTAATAAGATTTAGGTTTTAAATTTTCATAATTAGTGGTATTTTGCAAATGGATACCTCTAAGTGGCATTCTTGCAAATGTACATACCAAAAATGACATTTTTGCAATTGTCCCTATAAAATTTTATATAGTTTATGTACATTTTATCAAAAATATTATACTTTTTTGCTTCTCACATTATACTAGCATATTTATGTATGAATACACTAGTATTTTGTTAATGTAAAACCTTTTTGTCTTTTGAATTTTAAAACTCAAACATATGGTAGTCATTATAAAAAAAAAATTTGCAATTTTTTTGAAAAATATACTAGTTGTAACTTAAAGCAATATGTTTAATCAATTGGAAAGAAATTCTGAAATCCTCGAGAAACATCAAAAATTATTTTTGTTTATGTGTTATCCTCACA